GAAACTTCATTGCTAGAACCAGAAACATCTGTAGGTAATGTATTTGTATCATGAGAGTGAACTGAAATATCAGCATTCGTAGCATACATATCCAAAGACATATCTTCAGTTTGAGGGGAAGAAACATCAAATGTGTGATGATGCGTGACAGAAGTGTCTTCAAGATGCTAAAATTCACCATTTGCAGACACATTTAAATCAAATGCAGGAAATTGCGAAGAAAAGTGGGCATGAGTAGACACAGATAGCGGAAACAACTCAACACACAAAGGATACTTGGCATACTCAGGTTCTGATTTTTTAAGAGCCAAGTAAAAGGACAGACTATAATCATCATTAATAACAACTGGAGGAGGACATTCTTCAACCAAATAAGTATTTTTTATCCGTTCATTCGCAGCAAAAGCACCAATGCATGAATAGACCAAAGCAATAAAACGAATATACAATGTCTCATCCGGAACTATGAGGCCACAAGTTCTTTTATTACAAAAAACGTTGAAATCATTCCAACTTCCATCCACCTTTAGCATAAGCAGCATTTTAATCTCGATAAAAACAGGGAAATAAATTCAAATAAAAAGGTCATCACATAATATAGTCATGTGAATATGTAACTGTGTGATTAGAAAATAGATCCATATATATATATATATATATTATATTTATGTCTGAATAAATAAATGCAAAAACAAATAATAACACAAGCAACAACAAAATAGTAATAACTTCTAAAGTGAAAGGTTTAAGAACAAAACACAAAACAACTAATCACTAAATTGAAGTCAACGTTATAAGAACAAAAACAGTAAACTAATCAACATATTGAAGATCAAAAGCTATTGATTCAGAAGAATGTTGAAGTACAACATACAAAAGTGATAAAACAAAGACAAAAATTCGAAGTGTTGTAGAGATAATTTCAGAGAAATATAATGTGAAATTATGAAGGAAATTTATTGACAGAATTCATAAACAAACTAAAACTCCAAGATAGCGAACTAAAAAATGTAATCAGAATGAAAAATCGAAAACAACATGGAAACTTGAAACAGAAAATTCACAGCAGGAACGATTAACGAATTCTGATGAAACTTACTCGCAATTCCGAAGAGAACGATTACTCATGAATCGAATGAAGATTATGAGTCAAAATTGATGGAAATCGAGTTTGAATTTCTGATGCAAGGTACACGATAGAAGTCCAGAGCAAAGCTTGAAGAAGGAATTGAGTTTCCGAAGAAAGATGTTGGCGGTTAATTCGTTAACGGAAGAGATAAAAGGAATATAAACACAGGGGTATTTTAGGCAACTTGACTTTAAGTTTCCTAAATTAGGAGTGATTTAGCTTTACGGAAGTAATAAATGTAATTTGGTCTTATTTTGATCAAAAGTCTATGAAAGTGTCTTATTATGGGCAATTTTCTCATTAGTCATCTAAAAGTAAACTCGAATGTAAGAAAGTAATCGGTAAAAGTGGCTAATTGATGAAGTAGGTATTAAAACAAACAATTTTGAATTACATGCCTTATTCTGTTTTTTCTTGAATTATTTTCAGTCTCGGATCAAACTTAAACAGACAAGATCACATCAAACATGAATTTCATAGTTATAAAATACACATAAACCGGACATTTATCAGACCAGGGGTGGAGACAGGGAGGGGCTGGATGGGGCCTCGGCCCCTGCAAGAAAAAAATTCTTAAGTATATATTATGTATAAATACTTTTAATCTATGGAAAACATGTTTATATTTTAAACTTTGATCTATGCAATGTAAAATCTTTAAGGACCAGCCTTCTTAACCATAGATTTATGGCCCCGCCACTGTATCAGACCATACCAGATCAAACTATACTAAACTTAAACAGATTAAATCATACCAGACCAGCAAATGATAGAGTATATCTCCTAGATTCTAGAGAGAAGTGAGAGCTAGAGAGAGAAGTGCAATAATATGCTCCAATAGAATGAATTTGTAACCCCTATAACTACTCCCAAGGGGAGTATTTATAGAGAAAATTAGGGTTGGGCTCCCAAGCCTTGGGCTTGGAAGGCCCATTTACAACTGGACCGCTACTGGGCCGAATACAAAGCCTCTAATGGGCTGTACAAATGAGTAAGTATAGGATCCGATTCTGGGAGGTCTTCGTGGCCGACGAGGGCGTGGCCGACGAGGGCGTGGCCGATGAGGGCACGGCCGACGAGGGCACCCGGTTTCCTTGGACTCAGGAGCATAATCCGAGCTGGCCCCTTTTCGGCCGACGGGGGCGTCCTGGCCGACGAGGGCGCCACTCTGTTGTCTTGTGCTTTCTGTTCTTCCGAGTATGTGGGTCCTGGGGCTCAGGCCCATATACTCCATCAGGAGTCCCCCACTCTCTAAGCTGAGACGTAGACGAAGTGAAGGAGAGTAGATTTCTGTGCTTTGTTGCTTTTGGCCGTTACCTGTTCCTCGCTGTGGGCGGGGAGGCCGTTGTTTCAATGGTGGCCGTTGAGGGCGCGCTTTCCCTTTCCTGGCCGTTGGTGGTTGAAGTTTATGTTTGGGCCGGTGAGGTTGTTCCTTGCTTTGAGGACGATGGCGTCCTTTCCTTTGGGTGGCCGATGAGGGTGCTCGCGCACTCCTTTTGGCCGTTGCTGGTTGGCCTTCGTGTTCTTGGCCGAAGGGCCCGTCAAGATTAGTTGTTTGGCGGAGGACGATGAGTGTCCTTGCCTCTAGTGGCTTGTTGGCCGTTGCTAATGACGTTTTGGGCCTTTGGCCGATGAGGTTCTGTTGTGTTGTGTGGATGATGTGGCCATGTTTTGTGGTTACCTTGTTTATACCTTTGTTTCGTTGAGGCCGGTGTAGTCCCCCAGTCCCCCACTGCTTCAGGCCGAGGAGTGTGAGGGGTGAAGGAGTTGCTTGAGTCCCTGGCCGAAGCGGTCTCGCCGTAGTCCCCCTGAATCCAACTCTCATGGCGATTTTCTGGCCAAGGTAACCCTGTGGGAGAACCCTTGTGCGCAGATCGCATGTAGAGAGTTATCATCAACGGTTATTACGAGGAGCCGAAGGCTGTGGGCTATTTGTCCCCTTTGTTTTGTGGCCGTTACGTTCCTGGCCGTTGCCATCCTCTTATTGTTTGGCATTTGTGATCGTGGTGAGCAAGTGGGACGTTGTGGGCGCTTGCTGGCAGTTGTAAAGCCGCTGAGCGTGTGTAGGCCGCAGAGTTTGATCTGCCGGTGGGCCGTTGATATGGGTTGGTCCTGGCCCGTTGGTGACGTGGTGGCCCCCCAGTGGTGGCCGTTGATGTGGCCATTGGGGGAGTGCCACGTGTAGTGACCGTTGGTGGGGGGGTCTATAAATACCCCTTCCCCTCCGACGAAGAATCACATTTGCATTCTGAATTTGTCGAAGTGCTGGCCGATTTTCTAGAGAGATAAACTCCCAAGCCTATTCTTCGTGTTCTTCATTGTTTGAGGTTAGTGTTCATCACGATCTTCCTCACTTTTCATATTTTGCTCCGTAAGTAGTTGATCTAGTGTTAGGCATTTAAACGCCTTTAGATCGTAAGTTCTCCGTAAGCCCTTAGTAGTAATGAAGAGCTTGAACGACGAATACTACCCCTACGACGACCAGCCCTCCACGAGGTCGCTTGACTACGAGGTGCTCGAGGAGTTTGAGGAGGAGATAGAGCGTTTAAGTCCATACAAATCCGCGGAGCTGATGGACGAGGAAGGCGAGGACGAGGAGTCCGCCTCTTCTTCAAGGGGCGAGGACGTAGGTGCGTCCCGAGTGGTGGACGGGGCGTCCATTTCTGCTGTCATTCCGTGCCCGAGGCCGGTGTCCGCCGTTAAGGGAGCCGCCAAGCCGAAGAGAGTGAGGAGGCCGAAGAGTGGGCCCGGCGTCTCCTACTTGGATCTCACCAACATCTACCTGATAAAGCCGGAGAGCAGTGCGGCCGACTATCTGGTTGCCCAGATGTACGTGGGGCCGTTCGGGCGGGTTAGGGCGCCCAAGCCGACGGACCATGTTCTTCTTCCACCACCGGGATACTTTGGAGTATACCCGATGAGTTTTGCTAAGGGGTTGAGGTTTCCTCTTCACCCTTTCATTACTGAGTACCTGGACATGGTAGGGCTTCCTCCGGCCTTGCTGACGCCGAACAGCTACTCCTTGATGGTGGGGTTCTTGCTCCGGTGTGAGGAGTTGGGCTACAAGCCGACGACGGCATTATTTATGAATTTGTACCAGATAGGCCGAGGAAGCCACAAGAACTGTGCGGCCTACGCTACTCTTCAGCAGCTGCCGAAGAAGAGGAGCTTCACGGATTTGCCTACGTCCATTCATGGGTGGAAGAGCAAGTTCGTGTTTGTGTCCATTGGTGAGAGTGGCACCGAGTTTCCCTCCCTCGGCCACACCGGGAGATTTAATCTGCATGACCCGCCGAAGAGCTCTATCTTGGACGCTCAGGTGGAGGCTTTCCTGGAGGGGGGGCCGAGGAGCGTGAAAGATTACATCACTGAGTACAAGATGGCCGCCCTCGGCTTCGTGAGGTACTATGTTTATGGTGACAAGGAGGATGACCTCCAACTCTGGCCGAGGATGACCACCACCTTTGAGGAGGCCGACGGCCCGGACTTGGGCATTCCTGCTGAGGCCGATGGTAATTCTTTCTTCGGCTTTCTGTCTTTATGTTTTGTCCTTTGCCTTACTAATCTGTTTGTGCTTTTCCCTTGTAGATTTTGTCATGGACCGTCGTTCCATGATGGCTATTGCAAAGGCCAAAGCGGCCGAGGAGATTGCTGCTAAGGCGGCCGAAGCGGCCCGGCGTGCCGCTGCTGGTGGGAGCGGGGCTACTGCTGACGCGGTCTCAAAGCCTGCCCCGTCCAAGAAAAAGAGACCGGCCACTGACGGCCAGAAAAAGTTGACCGATGCCGGCGTGAGCGTCTCTAAGAAGACGAAGAGGGCTCCTTCCCCTTCTCCGGCTAGTGAGGCCGGTACGCTTACTGTCCCCAGCGTGGGCGATGGTGGTCCCGTCGTGGACCTTACTGTTGCTGGCGATGCCGCCCCAGCGCTTCCTCTCGTCCAGGAACCACGGACGCAGAGGGCCGGCAAGGAGATCGCCGGTGCCACCTATCAGAAAGTGATAGAGTACCCCGTCGGCGGGGGCGTGTTTAATGAGCTCGTCCCCGGCCACGTCGTCCTGGCCAAGGCCATGCCGGCCAAAGATCGGGCTCATTTGAAGAAGCTCGAGGACCCGAAGATTTATGAGGGCGGCATGGATCTTCTCGTCCAAGTAAGTGATTGTCCTTATATTCTTGTCTCTCTTCGTCTATGTAGAGTTTTTGCCTGACCTTTGTTTTTCTTCTGCAGAGTGCCTTCATGCTTATGGAAAGCCATAAGAGGCAGTACTGGGAGATAGTCCGCCTGCAAGCGCTGGAGCAGAAGGCTGCCTCGGCCGACGAGGCGGTAGCTTGCCTTGACCGGCTCCGGGAGGATGCCAAGGCGCTGCAGGCCAAAGCTGATGAGGCCGTCGCGGCCAGGGACGTTGCCCTGGTCAAGCTCGAAGAGAGCCGAAGGGAGCTCGAGGAGTCCCGTAAGGCGCTTGAGGCCGAGAGGCGCAGGAGCGAGGAGGCCGCCAAGGCGAAGGCTGAGGCCGAGGCCGCTGTCGTGAAGGCTGCCGACGAGGCCGTCGAGAAGTTCCTGGCCGAGGGGTGGAAGGCCGATGAGAGGCTCCCCTGGTGCTACGAAGTGGTGGCCGCCAGGTTGGAGAATTGGGGGATGAACTCCCCTGCCGGCCGGGAGTATTTCAGCCGGGAGATGTCCGTTTACTACAACCTGGGCCAGGAGCGGATGCAAAGGCTCCTGTGTCGGCGGCTATCCCGGGCGTTGAAGGCCATGAATTACACGTCTGGGTGGGCTAGACGGAACCTGAAGCTGCCGAAGCTGATGAAGGATCCAGAAGAGCAGGCCCAGCTTCCGCTGTCGGAGCGGGAGCCCCCCATAGAAAGCTCCGGCCTCGGCGAGCCGGACTATACTGAATTTGACTTCTTAGATGATGCCACCAGCGCCGCTGCCGGCCAAGAAGCTGAGGCCGATGAGGCCGCCGAGGAGGGAGCCGACGAGGTTGAAGAGCCCGCCGCGGATGAAAGTGCCCCGGAGGCATGATCGGCTATTCACTACCGTAGTTAGCTTTTCATTTGTTGCCAGATTATGTAACGGCCGAAGTGCCCCCCATTGTAATGAATTATTTGAATGAAAAATTTTTGTCATCCTTCTCGGCTTTGAATCCCTTGTATGCTTGTTTGCTTTGTCATTTCAATTCTATAATTTGTCCAAGTATCAAGTCATAACTTGGGTCACCCGCGAGTGTCCGCTACGTCCGTGAGGTTGGCCTTCCCGTCCAGTAGTCTGGTCGGCCTATGCCTCTTTGCTTTACTGTCATAACACTTAGAATTTTGTTTCAACAATTTCCCAAGTGTTTTTGGGTCCATGTGGCTCCTGTCTTTATGGCCTAGTGGCTTGATCGGCTTGGACGTAGTTTCATAATACTTAGGAATTTATTCAAAAAACTTTCTAAGTGTTTTGGGATCCACTTAGGTGCTTTCCTTTCGGCCTGGTGGCCTGGTCGGCTTGACCGGTGTTCCTTTGCTATCATAACACTTAGGATTTTTTTCACAAAATTTTCCAAGTGTTTTTGATTCCTTTTAGGTGCTTCCCTTTTTAGCCCTGACCGCAGTGTCCGTTCCGTCCAGGCGTTGGCGTCCTTATCGTCCTGGCCTTGGATTCATCCCAGGTGTTTTATCCAGGGCCGTTGTCGGCTTGTATCCCTGTGTTCTGGCCGATAAGGGCACCTTCACCATAGTCTTGTGGACTTTGAATTTTTCACAAGTACACATGTAGAGGTGTAGGTGGTTAACGGCTTTGTAGTATGCTGGTACCCGCTTCGGCTAGAATTCCTTCATTTGAGTACTTAGATAATTTCCTGAGTAGAAAAGTCAGGTGTTTACGTCTTTGCGGTGCCCTTGTCGGCTGTCTTGTGGCCGATGAGGGTGCTGGATAAGGAGTAGCTCGTCCAAGGAGATGGTCCTGCCTTCGTCGGCTAGTCATGGTTCCAGTGCCTGCGTCGGCTATCCGAGGTGCGGTGGCAAGTAGAGGTTGCATCTTGATTATTTGATCCTTTCGCGGGTGTGATAAGTGCCCGCTTCGTCCCGGTCATCCTCCGGTTTGAGATGTTTTGTTTCATACCAAGCGTTGGTGCCTCAAAGGACTATGGCCGATGAAGGTCACCTCTCGCGTTTCACCCAACCGATGTGGTTAGGGTTTCATAGGCGTGTGCATCGGCCTTGATTGTTCCCTCGTGGTGTGCGGACGTGTCGTCCATGCTGCCTGTCAGTGGTACTAAACTTGTGTTCAACTGATATGTACTTGGCCAAAATGGGCCTGAATTTGTGGGGATTTTATTTTTCTTTGCTCGAGACCGGCGAGTGTGCGCGGCCGTCGGCTTCCCTCTTTTTCCCTCATATATTTTTTTTTTGTTTCGGGGGGTATCCTTCTTTCAGGCTTCGGCCGAAGGGTGTGCTCGTCCATCGGCCGGTTCGGACTTCGTTTATAACGTCCGTGGTCTCAGGGCGGGTCCCGTCGCCTATTTATGACGCGGGCTAGACTTTTGGTCGGTTTCCAACGGCTGTCGTTGCCCATCCCTGAGTTTTGGGATTTTGTCACCTCGGCCATGATTTCAGGCATGTCGTCCTGCGATCTGGCGCGTGGACGACGCGGTGAGCTTCCCGTTTCAAGACGTGGGCCGTTTGCGGGCCCCTCGTCCTGGGGACATCGTCGGCCATACCTGAGCGTTTCACTTCTAGGCTTACGGGGCCAGGACGATGTGCTCTCTCAGCTAGGCCTGAGCCCTTCGCTGATACAAAATACAATGGAGTGCCTGAGCTTGTCGCTCGTAGGCTGCAAATGCAAGGGGCCATGTCGGCCAGACCTGAGCCTTTCGCTCTAAGGTGGCCGACGAGGGCACCTGCTAATGTTTTACTTTGAATTTCCAGAGAAAAAATCAGAACATGATTTTATTCATAAGTGGCTCGAGGCCGAGGGTGGCGTTCAATCAGTAACCCGTTAAGGGGTGAGGGCTTCGCCGTCTGCACCTCCTTCGGATTACTGATAAAACTTCACCAGATGGTGTACATTCCATGTTCGTGGTACATTGGACCCATTCGGGCGTTTAAGCTTGTAGGTGCCGGGTTTGACCACGGCACTGACGATGTAGGGCCCTTCGTACTTCAATGCTAGCTTGCCACCCTCTGTCGGCTGGCTTGCTTCCCTTCGGCGGAGGACGTAGTCCCCCACCTGAAATTCCCGGGAACGTACCTTGGCGTCATAGTATGATTTCACTTGACGCCGGTAGTTCTCTGCTCGGACGTAAGCTTGCTCACGCCTCTCATCAACCAGGTGTAGGTCAATCTTCATGTTCTCTTCGTTGGTGTCAGGCTCATATTGTTCCACTCGTCGGCTGGGGATGGCTACCTCCGTGGGCGCCTTCGCCTCAAAGCCGTAGCACAGGGCGAAAGGTGTTTCACCTGTCGCCCTCCTCGACGTGGTTCTGTAGCACCACAGGATGTTGGGGAGCTCGTCGACCCAACTACCTCCTGCGGCCTGGAGGTTCTTCTTCAGCCCCTCCATTATTGTTCTGTTGGCGTTCTCGACCTGCCCGTTGCCCTGAGGATAGGCAACGGAGGAGAAACGGTGCCTCACCCTAAACTCCCGGAGGAGCTCCTGGAAAGGGGCTGCCTCGAATTGGGTTCCGTTGTCTGATATGATCTCCTGGGGGACGCCAAAGCGTGTAATGATGTTCTTGTAAACAAATCTTTGGCATCTGGCCCCCGTGATGCTGGCCAAGGGTTCCGCCTCGACCCACTTGGTGAAGTAGTCGACGGCGACGATGATGTAGCGGTTATTCCCGGCGGCTCTGGGCAGGGGGCCGACCAGGTCAATCCCCCATCTGGAGAATGGAATTGTGGTGCTGACAGGGGCATAGTTGACAGCTGGCCGACCAGGGGCCTTCTGGAGTACCTGGCATGTGGTGCACTTCCTGGCCAGATCAGCGCAGTCCCGTGCCATCGTCGGCCAGAAGAAGCCCTGGACGACGAGACGCCGGGACATGCTGAAAGGACCCTGGTGCGAGGAGCAGACGCCACAGTGAACTTCTTCCATGGCGGTGTCGGCCTCGTCCTGGTGCAGGCATCGGAGGAGAGTGCCATTGTAGGACCGTTTGTAGAGTTTGCCATCTTCTATGGTGTAGCTTGGGGCCCTGAGTTTGGCAAGTTTGGCCCTCTCCTCGTCCTGGGGCAGCTCCCCCGTGGTGATGAAGGTGGCGATGTCGGAGATCCAGTCCTCTGGTCGCTGTTGGACGCACAAGACGGGGCTGGCATGGATGCTGGACATGCTCAACTCCTCGATCTTGGCCAACTGGGAGATGTGCTCCGGGGTGTCCGAGCTGAGCTTGGAGAGGATGTCGGCTTCGGCGTTCTCGGCCCTGGGGATCTGAGTGATCTCGTGGGTTTCAAACGCTTTCAGCAATTCCTCCGCCGCTTGCTTGTACTGCTTCATCCGGCCTTCCTTTGCTTCGTACGATCCCTCCACCTGGCCCACTACCAGTCTGGAATCGCACTTGATTCTGAGGTGCTTGGCCTTGAGACCGGCGGCGAGTCTGAGACCGCTGAGGAGGGCCTCATACTCGGCTTCGTTGTTGGATACCCTGAAGTTGAAGCGGATGGCATAGTAGGCTCTGAATCCTTCAGGGGATATGAGGACGACGCCGCCGCCGCATGATTTCGCGGCCGACGAGCCGTCAGTGAACAGGGTCCACGTGTCGTCCGGCTCCGGCCCGGGGTCGGCGACGGCCGTCTCCCTTGCTGTGCATTCGATGACGAAGTCGGCCAAGGCTTGCCCTTTGATAGATGGCCTTGGCTTGATCTCAATCTGAAACTGGCTGAGGAAGATCGCCCATTTCACCATCCTCGAGGAGCTGGTGGGACTCCTCATGAGCGCGCCGAGAGGCTGCTGGGTCAGCACATGGACGGTGTGGGCTTGGAAATAGTGCCCCAGCTTCTTCACGGTGTGGACGATGGCCAGCACCGTCTTCTCAATGGGGGGGGGGTACCTGAGCTCGGCCTCCCTAAGTGTCTTGCTGATGTAGAAGATGGCCTTCTGCACCCCTTCGTCCTCACGGATGAGCACGGAGCTGATGGCCGACGTGCTCACCCCTAAGTACAGGAAGAGGGTTTCGCCGGCTTTGGGCTTGGAGAGTACGGGTGGGGACGACAGGTACCTTTTCAATTCGTCGAATGCTTCCTGGCACTCTGTCGTCCACTTGAAGCTGTTTGCCTTGCGCATGATCTGGAAGAAGGGGAGTGCCCTCTCAGCTGACCTGGAGAGGAACCGGTTCAAGGGCCGCCAGGCGCCCTGTCAGTCGTTGTACCTCCTTGACGTTGCGG